TCTCCAATATCGCCCGTTGTCTTAAAAGGCATGGAGTTGAAAACATCTTATTAACAGGGTTGCAGTTTATTCGTTAAAGTCTAGCACTAGTAAGTTGTCCCATTTAGGACAATACTGTATTAGGAATTCTTCTGATCAAGGCAAAAGTGAATTTGCCGATATTTAAATTACAAAGTCTATTCAATATATTTAAATAAAATTGAATCTAAATCTCAATTACAAGTGCATAACATATTTAGATTTACTTTGTGAATTATAAAATTGTTAATCCTGTACATAAAACTATTGCAAAATCACAATAAAATTAACAAAGAATTTTTAATTAATATTAAAAAAACTAATTACTTACTAATCACTTTTTTGTAATTAATACCAACAACTCTTGAAGATATTTCTCACTGCCTATCCATATTAATAGTTCAATGCACTAACCACTCGAATCTAAGCCATCACATATGTGACAGTGATATAATCTATAAGTCATAAAGCACTTTTTACTACTGTAATTCTGATTGCTTTGGAATTGATATTCATTACGTGCGGCAAATATCTTTCAAATATCATTTACCACTCACCAACCAGCTAAAGATATAAATTATATCTTCTCTGCGCTAATATCTCATAGATTCATGTTGCTAGTTTCTTTTTTTCTTATCTGCTGGTCTTAGCTTATCTTTTTTTCCTTGATTATTATTACTTTGAAGCTTAAACTAGTTTATGTTGGAAGAAACTAACCTTTCATGATCTTTCATGATACGATGAAATATTGTCATTTTTGCTTTCGTTTTTATTGCCGCGCATAGATGAAAATATCAAAGAAAAACAAATAACAAATAACAAATCACAAATTAAAAGAAAATATTTTTTTTCTCTATTATAAAAACAAATAAGGCAACGCTAAATAACAGAGAAAAAAAAAGATATTAAAATCTGATTTCTGCATTACAAATACAAAACGTTGCAGAACATTGAACTTCACAAATGTTTTGCTCTACTCCGCAAAGCACGGCGCCGCTCATTGCACTCAGATCTGGCGGCGCACTGGTAGTGCTACCAGATCTCGGTCGTTTTACTTTCAAAGCCAGAGCTAAGTGACTGACATTAGTTTGGATTGCACTGTGCAATATTAAGATATGTGCATTCAGATACATTTATGTCTTCACTATTCAACTACAACCGAAACCGAAACAGAAACAAAAACAGAAATAGAAATAGAAGGAGAAGAAAAAAAAAGATGCTAATAAAATAAAAGAAAATAAAGGAAAAGAAAAAAATCTGCAATTTTACTCGGTGCAAACTACTTGAGGCGCATTTTGATACGACATGCCTCCGCTATTGGTACCACTCGACGATGTTTAGCTGTTACTCGTAGTTCGTAGTGCATTAATGTAGCATATCTGTGCTTGGTGTATCACTTTTTTTTTTTTTTTTTATTTTTATTTTCCACACTTCCCGCTTGATTGACTCTTGCACCGTTTTTGCTGCATCTTCAAGTGAGATATCTTCTTCTTAAGCGGTTTCAGTTTGAAAGGGAACGGTTCCATTTGCACATGTTGCTGTTATTATGCATTTTTATCTTTACTGTTGCTGCCGCTGCAGTTTCTAGTGCAGTTGCTATTGATGTTGCTACTCTTGTTGTTGTTGTTGTTGTTGTTAGTATAGCAGCAAATATTATAGTTACAGATAGATGCACTTGGTCTTGCAAAGTTCTCTGTGATGTTCTGTTAGTTTTTCGCGATTATCAACAATAGTTTTGTGCTTCTTCATTTTGTATAGTTTTGTTTTTCTTTCATTGTTCGTTTTTTTTTCTGTGCTGTTGTTGTTATTTTGTGCTTCCTTCTGTAAGTTGGCAGTTTTAATAGTTTTAAATGTTGCTGAGCTGATAAGTTGTCGCTTCCAAGTGAGTGAATGAGTCTGTGGCTGTGACTGTGGCTGTGGCTGTTGCGCAACATTTGTCTAAGGTTATTGCTGCTTTTGTGGTTATTATAGTTTTTATTGGTTTTACCTGGAATAGTATGGAAAAACAAGATAAGGTTTTATAGATGATGCTTATTTTTCAACAGGTTTTCTATGCATAGAAAATTAAGTTTTCTTGCATTCCCTTGAAATTTTCCTACCTTATCGTAATTTTAATAAGCAATGCTCAGGAAATAAAATTTTAAATTATTTCTTTAAATGCAAACTAATATTAACCGGTAATATCATCAGTTTAAATTTTACAAAAAAAATATATTCAATTAAGA